TGGCTAACCTTTGTCCAGAGACTGCTGAGGAGTCCAGTTTCAGGCACGAAAGGGTGGTTTGAAGACGAAGAGCTGCAGCAGCTTCTTGATGACATTCAGACAAAGCACAGCTCTCAGTATTAATCTCCAAACATCACTGCTGCTTGGAGAAACTATGTCCAAGCTGGGATCTGGGGCTGACTTGCACAGAAATTCTATTGCAGACGACAGTTGGAATTCCTTTGGAGAAAACAGCCCAGCTTGGAGTTGGCTTAGGTTGCTGTTTCAAATAACTCTTAGGTTCAGGTGATATATAATCTTGGAGCAGCCTTGTGCAGTGGCTGCCAGGTGGCTTCCTGAGTGTGCCTCTGGGAAGTGTGAGGTGGTGGGGGTGGGAGTCATATAAGCCACACTGTTGACTACCTCATTCAGGGTTTTTGGCCCCTGGATCATCTTGTATTCTTAATACTTCATGTTTTAATTTCAGTGTGTTTATGCTTTTTGAAACTAGACCAGAGAAAGTAGACTTTGTAGAGAAAGACCAGTTTTACCTAGATGCCAAAATGCCAAAGGAAGAATTAAACCACTGTTATTGTTTTGAGTTGTTGTTGTTGTTTTTGAGATAGGGTGTTAACTCTGTTGCCCAGGCTGGAGGAGTGCAATGGTGCAGTCATGGCTCACTGCAACCTTCTGGGCTCAAGTAATCCTCCTGCCTCAGTCTCACAAATAGCTGGTGCCACAGGTGTGCACCACCACTCTCAGCTAATTTAAATTTTTTTTTTTTATAGAGGCAAGGTCTCACTATGTTGCTCAGACTGGTCTGAAACTCCCAGGCTGAAGTGATCCTCATGCCTTGTCCTCCCAAACTGCTGAGATTACAGGTGTGAGCCACTGCACCTGGCCTGATGGAGTATGTAAAGCTCCTGGGTCTCTCTGCATGCCTGAGCAGCTGCTGTGTGGAGGTTTCACACAGATCTGTGGCAGATCCTAGGTCCTGGTGGTGTGAGCTCACTCCACCTCCTGATCTGAGGGTTGCAAAGATTCATGAAAGAAGCGTAGTTTCCAGCTTGCCTTGGCTCTGTGTCACTACCAAGTGGACCGACACCTCACCCTTCTTTCCTTTGTTCTCTGTGGGTCAAGTTATTTCCCTGATCAGCCCCAATGTGAGTACCTGGATATTTCAGTTGAAGGTGCTGTATTTACTCACCCTCTTTTGTTCTTTTTATGAGCGCCATACATGGCAGCTGCTTCTAATTGGTCATCTTGGCCCCCAACAGCAGTTCTTAATTCTAAAGAAAACATTAAGTGATGCAGGAGATGAAATGTAATCATAATTTACTGTATGGCCTAGTTGTCAGTGACGTTTATATTGCAATAATAGTGTATACTCTATCCAAAATTATGATGTAAAGATTTTGGAAGGATGCATGGATGCATGAGTGTGTGTACGTTTGTGTAATAGGGAGTTAGATGAGTTGTGTATGGTAATTAAAACTATTTTCCATGGAAAGATGTTTATACATAGTGGCTCAAACTGAAAAATCGAGAAGTAGCACCACACTCATAGTACTTCAAAATATGGAGGTAAATATCAAAAACAATTAAAAGAATAAAAACTGGTTTTCTGTGAGCAGCAGGAAATGACTGTTCTGTTTTGTAACAAGACTTGCCTCCTTCACTGACTTTTAACATTATGTGCAAGTACAACTTCAATGAATCTTTGAAAATTTTGCTTCCATATTGGCTGGGCTGTCTTCCAGTAGCAATATAACATTTCTCTAATTACATAAGATGCCATTAGCAGGAGTCCATGTACAAGCTTGTTTCCTTACTATTCTGGAATCTTCCTCTATTATGTGGATTGGAAACCAAATGTCGTTTCCAAGCTATAAGAGGTGCAGTCACACGCCATTCACCACAGGGAGGAATGGGGATTACAGAAAGACCAGCTTACCTCCGCATTACAGTGATGAACTACCTCCAACCCATAATGGTGTGAGCCAGCTTACAGAATGAGTCATCACCGTTAGTCTAACCCTTCCTAGGAGGTGGTGAGGCCTGAGAAAACAGAATACATTTATGTGAAGCTTTTGTTTCTGGATATGAAAATAGCAGAACCAAGATGATTGGTGAAAAAGTTTGTTGTTTTACTATATGGAAAACTCAGGCTGTGGTCATGGTCTTTGGGTGAACTATTTTCAAGTAAGTTGTCTACCCCTTGATATTTGAGTTTTACATATTTTCCTTTTGTTATTAACACTTTTTCTGTTTTAAGCAAATTGTGATTGTCAATTTTGTTAATGGATTGGAAGCCATAGACTGGGAAAGCAACCCTCCTTTTCTGCACTGGAAGGATGCACCATCACTCTGCCTGTGATACCTTACTCTGAGGTTGTCTTGGATTAGAGTCCAAGTCTAGGAAGAGGGACTATGTATTTTCGTTCTTTGTGGGTCTATGTCTTTAAATTTTTATACAGTATAAATATACTATATGGTCATAAAATCCTTTAAAATGCTCATAAAGGATTTTATTTTATTTTTTCCTTCTGTAATGTTTAGATAAAAGACTTTCTGGCTTTCTCATATGACTGACTTTATTTTTTCATCTTTGTTACTGATGTCCAATTTGTTTCTGTCTTTTAAATATTTATTATTTTGGTTTATTTTGTTTTGTTTAGATTAACATGTGACTTTTATAAAAGATTCTGTAAGAATTTAATTAAGTAATGAGATTATATAAACACTAAATAAATAACAATAAACTCAATAAATAAATATGGAGGCAAATATCAAAAACAGTTAAAAGACAATAAACAATAACACTTATGGTTGTATTATCCTGATTGTTTCTAGGAAAAATCTAGGCAATTGCTTTAGGACCCATTTTCTTTCTATGGTCTAAAATAAATACCGAGTAGGTAAGAAGGAATATTTGTAACAAATATATCCAAGGTCTGAATAAAAGGGACCTATATAAACTGATTACCCAGCTGAATAAACAGAACTAGGAAGCTCTGGAAGAACTGTATGCCCACTGCTCTATTTTATCCCCTTCTCTTCCTTCCCACAGATGTAACTGACATCCTAAATTTGATGGTAAATATTCTCTTAAAATTTGTTATAGTTTTATCATCTATGTATATGGCCCTAAAATAGATATTATTTGGTTTTGTATGCTTTAAACTTTATATAAATGAAATAATACTGTATGCATTCTTTTACATCTTGCTTATTCACATCCTTGGGATTCATTCATGGTGATATGTCATGTCAGTTTGAGTGCTTTGATGAGAAGATGTCAAGAGATTTAATGGGAGACATGCCTGAAGGACAAAAAAAAAAAAAAAAAAAAAAAAAAAAGAGGGATCAGGAGTAGGCAGGGAGAGCATTTAGACTGTGAAGCAAGACTGACACCAATGATAGAAAAGAGAGAAGGAAAGGCTGGTTGCAGTGGCTCATGCCTGTAATCTCAGCACTTTGGGAGGCCAAGGCAGATTACTTGAGATCAGGAGTTCGAGACCAGCCTGACCAACATAGTGAAACCCCACTTCTACTAAAAATACAAAAATGAGCCGAGCATGGCAGTGTGCACCTATAGTTCCACTTACTTGGGAGTCTGAGGAAGGAGAATCACTTGAACCCGGGAGGCAGAGGCTGTAGTGAGCTGAGATCATGCTACTGAACTCCAGCTTGGGAAACAGAGCAAGACTCCATTTGAAAAAAAAAATGAGAGAAGGAAGGAGGAGTGGTTAGGAAGAGCTTCAGACTGCAGGGCAGCTGTGAAGCTCTGAGAAAGTCTCAACCTGACAGATGAGAAAGCCCTAGAGCAAAGCTTGGCTGTAGAGGCATTCCACATCAGCAGGAAAGGCTGCCATCTTTGGCTGGGAGCAGTCCAAGAAGAGAGCGTCCTTGGCAGGAGCACTACCAGGGATGCAAAATTGTTACAGCTGGAAGTTGTCTTCCAACTGTTATCCTTGTAACAGGTTCTCTTAAAGGGAAGTCTGAGAGTCATACCTCCATGCTCACAATCCATTCTTATACTTCATGGACCCCATCCTCTATCTATGTTTGGGAGCAGATCCTCCATGCTTCCCATGGGTGTCTTCCTGAAGGGAAACTTAGCAGAGGAATGTTAGTGAGTGGACTACAGCACCCATTTCTATAGTTGGACCAACAATTTGTTCTCATCATCTCTTGCCTCCACTGTCTATTCTAAATTTCCTTTACCCTAAGCTAATAGCTTGGCAGGTTTTAGTGGCTTTCCTGGGGGTGTGATCAAACCCCTCACTCTGGCAGTCATATACGTCTTGAGCTGAGTTTGCTGCATGTCTATTCAGTTAGTTAGGCAAGGGAATACCAAGAGGTGTCCAACGGATCACCTCGGTTCCACAAATGTTACACACATATTCCTCCCTGTCTTTAGGTGTAAAAGCAGCTATATCTTCTCTTACATATACTGCATCTTGATGGATAGCAGCCCATCCTTCCAGAGTATTATCACTTACATGGTGTTCCAGGATTTTTTGAGCCAGTTGGCAGCTTGAATTGCCCATTATAGGAGTATTTACATCAAGGAAATTGATAAATACTACAAATCAGGGTTTTTGTTTTGTTTTGTTATTTTTTTTCTGGAGAGCCAGTTATTAAAAATATACTAGCATTCCATTAAATGAACTTAATGATCATGGACCTGTTTCAGCTCTTCCTTCACCATAGGGTTAGTGTTTTGGTTAGATGCTATGTTGATTTGGAGTCCCTGGTTGGATGCTGTATCATATGGGATTCCATAAGCCCCTGGATAGTGGTTACAGCTGAGGCTGAATGTAAGAGAGCAAACCCACACCAGGCTATGTATTTATCCCTGTGGGTGTTTGGGTTAGGTGGTGAGTGGCAGGGTGACCACTCTATGAGTGCACTGAGTGTCGGTTAGCAGATTCCAGCCCCTGTTGCCCTCAAAACTGACTCAGAGATACCACCCTCGAAATGGCACCTGAATACCACTTTTCAAGTCGTGTTCTCAGTCACTATTGCCTTAATCTCATGCCAACATGTGGAGACCCTTGAGAAAGACAGAGGGAACCCCGTCTACCTGGGACTGAATGAGCACAAACTGCCTGATGTGTGCTAAGGTCGGAGAGCAGCCTGCACTGCAGCCGAAGGTGAGTGTGTAAGACAGGTCCTGCCAGTGCTTGACTAGGAAAGGAGCTCATTTATTTGAGAGAAACTCAGATTTTAGGATCTTTTAAAAGACAATATACTTATTATGCTATGCATATTTATTTTTGGTTTCTTTGGGGTTGAATGTGTTATGAAAGAATAAGAAAACGTTTCAGGAATATTTTGAAACAAATCTACTAAAGTGACTTATTTTAATTTACAAAAATATTAATAATTTGGCAAGGATGATGTCTAACTTCAATAGAACACACACACACACACACACACACACACACACACACACACACATACACACATACACACGGTAAAATCAGCAAGGACATTTTAGCAGTTAATTATTCCATAGTAGATGAACTTATTAAAACATCTTTTCGGCAAAAAATGCATTGCAATTTAAAATGAACAAACATAAATTCTCTGTAACAAACACTTTAATAATTGCAATTTTCCATTATTAAAGAAAAGATAATTAAGCAGGCCTCTGTGTGCTACAGGAACGCTCTTGATCATTTTCAGTAAACAAGCATAGGCAGCCACTCAATTTGATGACAGGATATAAAACAGTGGCTTTCAATCAGGGGTGATTTTGCTCCATGGACATTTGCCAATGTCTGGAGATGTTTTGGTTGTGACAACCTGGGATGGGGGTGTGTTACTTGCATTTAGTGGGTAGATGACTGGGATGCTGCTAAACATCCTATATTGTACAGGACAGATCCTGACAACAAAGAATTATTTTGCCCAAAATGTCAATAGTGCTGAGGATGCAGAAACCTGACAGAAAATAACTATGTTTTAATTTGGAATTCATAGTAACTGTTACATAAATACTCTTTAAATTTCTCTGTTTCTGAACAACAAATAATGGCTCAATCAATGCTTTGTTAGATTAGAAAAGTATTTAAGTTGTTTGTGTGTGTGTGTGTGTGTGTGTGTGTGTGTGTGTGTGTGTTTTATTGTATTTTAGGTTCTGGGGTACATGTGCAGATCATGCAGGATTGTTGCATAGGTACATTTATGGCAAGGTGGTTTGCTGCCTCCATCCCCCCATCACCTATATCTGGCATTTCTCCTCATATTATCTCTCCCAAACCTCCCCACCCTCTGCTGTCCCTCCCCTAGCCCCCCAATCCTGTAATATGAAACAGAGGTCTCCAAGCTGCTTCAATGAGTAGGGAATGCTATCTTGGACATGGCATATCAGTGCGTAGAGAATGTGAAACATTCAAACAGTTATGTTTCTTGCTGGTGTCTCCTTCGCACCCTTCAGGAACAGGATATAATGGATTTGTGTGACGAACCCAAGCCTGTGAAGCTGTTTCTCTTCTACCACATTCAGAGTGGCAGAAGCTCCACCTTTGAGTCTGTGGCCTTCCCTGGCTGGTTCATTGCTGTCAGCTCTGAAGGAGGCTGTCCTGTCATCCTTACCCAAGAACTGGGGTTGGCCGACACCACTGACTTTGAGGTTAACTACACTGTCTTAAGGTAAGTTTGGGTTTGAGGTTGGTCTCCATGCAGAGAAAATCTTAGTAGTAATCTTAGCCTGAAATGGGTAGGGAGGATCTGTTATTGGACTTTCCACATAAGGGTATCCTGCTGCCTCCCAATATATTCATGCAGTGACCTAAGTGCTGGACTGGGCTACATGCCCTCTCCCTGGGTCCGTGTGGAAAATAGTCCAGGGAAATTGAGGGCCTTGCCATGAGCATGTGGCTGAACTATGGCACCATTACAGGAATAATAAAGAAAGCTCTACTTAACATACTTGGTAATAATACTCCAAGTAAAAATGAGAGGGTGACTCTTGAATTTTAAGTCCAGGTCTCTGGATTTTCAGATAACATTCCTCTGTGATAGTGTATCAAGACATTTTGGACAAGGAGAAGCAGATATGGATGTTCCATCAGAAAGAGGAGTCCCAAAAAGAAGGCTGCACCGCTCCTGGGCTTGGCTCATGTCTCAGTGAAGTGATATACAATGGTGCTGGTTTGGGTGAAGAACTGCTGTTGTTTATGAAGCTTTCACCTAAAGTTTTATCACTGGATCTCAGAAAGCATTAAACTTGTGAAATAAAAATTCTGTCTTCTCAGTCACTCTTTTGTGAATTCAATGGCTTTAATGGAATACAGTGGTAATAGTATTGATTCCTTACACTTATAAGGAGTTTTATAGTTTGTAAAGCAGGCTCACATGAAGGCTCTCGTTTCTAAGAGGAACCAGGAAGACTGTTGGGGAGGGTGGTATCTTCCTAAACTTGGGTTTCTCAAGGCCTCACTAATGGGGTGCATGGGACAAATAGTGCTTCACTAGTAGAAATTTCACTCCATATTTCAGTGCACAATGCAGGTTCACAGCTAGCTGAAAAACTCCCTGCCCCTTTTGGCAAGGATTTCTGAGAGTCTCCTGTGAATTTTTTGTGTGAACTCACACACCTAAAGTGTCCTGCTCCCACTCATCTAGAGAATATTGTTTTTAATCCTCTCTTATTTTGAAGTAAGTTTTCTTCTTACAGAATATTAGTTGAAACTTTATTTCTTGCCATATTATGATTTCCAAAATGGTTAATCTGTGTAGTTCTGTTGTAATGTTTACTTTCCATTATATTTTTACTTGTCCCTAAGCTTTGGAGGAAGATGTGGAAATACTGTTTACCTGAGCATGTTGATGACTTCCAGGGCCCTGCAGGCATTGCCCCAACCTCCTCATCCCATCCTGGTGCTTTCTTCCATTCTGCATTTGAGTCACCACATTGCTATCAGAGATTTCATTTTTTCCTGGTGAAATCAGGTTTTTCATTTCTCATGGTTCCTACAAAAAAGGACAACTGTTTCTCCTCTGCCTTTTCCTGTGTCTGTAATTTCTCTAGACCTGTGGGATGACCAGGACACTTAGGAGAGTGAAAGGGGCCTATTAATAATTACATTGGGTTAACGGACCTAAACTGGGAGAAATAGACCAGCTCTTAGACCAACTGGGGTATCTGATTTCCTAAACTCAGGGCTGGGGAGGAATCTGGCCATCTTTGACATTGCCTGGATGTTTTCTGGAAGAAGCAATTCAACCTCTTTAGAAATTTGTGCCTACTTGTTTTTATCCTCTTCCTTCCTTCTTTCCTTTCTTCCTTCCTTCCCTTACTCCCTCCCTTCTTCTTTCCTTCCTTTCTCTCTCTCTTTCTCCTTCCTTCTTTCCTTCCTTCCTTCCTTCTTTCTTTCTCTTTTTCTTTCTTTCTTTCTTTCTTTCTTTCTTTCTTTCTTTCTTTCTTTCTTTCTTTCTTTCTTTCTTTCTTTTTCTTTCTTTCTTTTCTTTCCTTCTTCTTTTTCTTTCTCTTTCAGAGTTTCACTCTTTTTGCCCAGGCTGCAGCGCAACGGCATGATCTCGGCTCACTGCAACTCCCAGGTTCAAGCAATTCTCCTGACTCAGCCTCCCAAGTAGCAGGGATTACAGGCCTGTGCCACCAAGCCCAGCTAATTTTGTATTTTTAGTAGAGACAGGGTTTCACCATGTTGGCCAGGTTGGTCTCAAACTCCTGACCTCAAGTGATTCACCTGCCTCAGCCTCCCAAAGTGCTGGGATTACAGGCATCACCTGCTGTGCCTGGCCTATTTTCTTATTAATGAATAAAATCTTGCATTTTTTTCTTAGTATCTCTTGGATACATCCTATAATTACTTGTATTATGGCTTAATATGAGATATACCTATTTAATAAATTTTTTAATGTTCAATATTGTTAATACAGTATACTATATGCATACTCTTGTACAGTAGATCTCTAGAACTTACTTCTCTTGCTTAAATGAAGATTATATGCATTGAAGAGCATCCCATCATTTCTCCTTCCCCCAGTCCTTGGAAACCACTGTTCTACTCTTTGTTTCTATGCATTTGACTATTTCAGATATCCTCTCTGTAAGTGGAAGCATGCAGTATTTGTCCCTTTGCGACTGGCTCATTTCACTTGGCATGATATACTCCAGGTTCTCCCATGCTGTCCCAAATGGTTGGATTTTCTTCTTTTTAAAGGCAGGATAATATTCCATTTTGTGCATATGCCACAATTTCTTTGTCCATTTATCCATAAATGGGCATTTAGGTTGTTTTTATAACCTGGCTATTGTACATAATGCTGCAATAAACATGAGAGTGCAGAATAAGTTAAAGATTTTAATGTGAGGCCAGAAACTGCCCAAACTTTTAGAAGAACACACAGGGGGAAAGTTTCATAACATTAATCTAGGCAAGATTTCTTGGATATGACACCAAAATCACAAGGAACAAAAGCAAAAGTAGACAAGTGAGACTATTAAACTGAAGAGCTTATGTACAACCAAAGAAAAAATCAACAGAGTTAAAAGGCAACCTATGACATGAGAGAAAATATTTGCAAACCATGTATCTGATAAGAAGTTAGTATTCAAAATATGTAAGAAAGTCACACAACTCAATGGGAAACAAACTAACAAACAAGCATCTGATTAAAAGTGGGCAAAGGACTTGAATGGACATTTCTCCAGACATACAAATGGCTAACAGGTATAAGAAAAGATGCTTAGCATTTACTAATAATCAGGGAAATACAAATGGAAAGCACAGTGAGATATTACCTGACACCTGTTAGAATGGCTTTTACCAAAAAAACCAATGTGTTGGAGAGGATGTGGAGACATTGGAACCCTTATACGCTTTGGGTAGAAATTTGAAATAGGGCAGCCACTATAAAACAGTGTGAAGGTTCCTCAAAATATTTAAAATGGAGCTACTATATGACCCACAAATCTCACTTGTCATTATGCATCCCAAAGAATTAAAATCAGGATCTCAAAGAGATATCAGGACACATCCTACAATGTTGATGCAGTGTTTTCATTGTCTTTATTTCAACTTCTAACTGTTTTGGTTATTATTTTCCTTTAAAATATGAATTGTATATATTATTTTTAAATTCTCAAGTGATTGGATTATCTAGAGGCTCTTTCAGAATAGTCTATGTTTATTATTGCCTATGGTTAGATGGAATGGCCTGTATGATATCAACTTTGAGCATTTTTTGATATTTCCTTTGTGACTTTGTGCATTACAAATAAATTTTCCATGCAAACCTAAGAAAAATTAACATGATTTCAGGTATAAATTTATATATATATATATATAATTTATATATTATATATTATATAATATGAACATGTAATATTACATAGAATTATATATATATTATATATTTTAACATGTTAACATTAATAGGTACATACCATATGCCATATATGTATTTATATATTTAGAAATTGAATTTTGTTAACTATTTACTCTGTATTTTTAATTCTTATATTTTGTTTGCTTGATCTATCAGCTGCTCATAGGAAGAATTAAATTACCTTACTATGACTATTTTAAATCAAATTATGTTATTATTTTATACCATTTGCTTAGACTACTTTAATTCTAAGTTTTCTTGGTACCTAATGGTTCATATATGCCTTATCTTCTTGTTGCTTCATATCTTTTATCCCAGTGAAATATTCATCTTCAAATCATTACTGATGTTTTCCTTAACTTCTTTGTTGGCTGTGCATACCATTAATTGGTTACTTGAAGAAAACTTTTTTTTTGCATTTTAACATCTCTGAAACCTAGATGCATGTTACTACAATGAATGACATCTTACAGTATTGTCAGCCAAGTGGCAGTCATGACGTAGTGGTCATTGCCTACGCATGTGCAAATACGGTTAGTTTTCCGATGTTGTTATTGGACAAATGTTCGCCATCTGATGCTTCATTCAGTTAATCATCAGGAAAAACCATTCGTTGAAGGAATATGATCCTGGTTGTTGGTGATAAACCTTCTAATGACACATCCTGTAAATTTAAAAAAGTAACAGCAACAAAAGTTGCTGAATGGAGGTCAGCCGCTTGGAATGATGTCTGGCGACAAGGATAGATAACTTGTTAAATGTATCACCAGTCCTCTTGTTGGCACAGGAGAGTTTTACTGGAAACAAACATTAGCAGTTTTGAGTCAGAAGTGATCAAGCAGAAGTACACCCAAAATGTAAGAAGTTTTAGGGCTGGGTGCAGTGGCTCATGCCTGTAACCCCAGAACTTTGGGAGGCTGAGGAGAGTGAATTTCTTGAGGTCAGAAGTCCAGAAGGTTGAAACCAGCCTGGCCAACATGGTGAAACCCTGCCTCTACTAAAAGTACAAAAATTATCTAGGCATGCCTGTAATCCCATCTACTTGGGAGGCTGAGGCAGAACAGCTTGAACCTGGGAGGTGGAAGTTGCAGTGAGCCAAGATCACATCACTGCACTCCAGCCTGGGTAACAGAGTAAGACTTTGTCTCCAAAAAAAGTTAGAAAAAAGGTAAGAAATTTTATGAATACCTTAATAGACTAATCTCATTTATATTTACCTTTTTATGAACAAAAAACAATACTAGATTATACACATATATCCTTAAAACAGTTCCATTTATATATATGGTTCTAAGAAAGTATTGTAATTGGGCAATTTTTTTTGTTTTTTGGTAGTACGTAAAATAATTGTACATCTTACAATCTATGGCATTTTAGAGTCAATGTAACATGATATTGTCAACTGCTTTTTTTGTGTTAACATTTGCTTGACATATACCTTCATCAATCCCTACATTTTCAGTCTTTTTGAATTATTTTCCTTTACACACTTATCTCTTATCAATAGCATATAACTGATGTGTGTGTGTGTGTGCATGTGCGTGTGTGTGTTGTTTTAATAAGTCATCTGATAGTCTTTGTATTTGTATTGAATTTGGCCCATTCACCTTTATTTTGATGATTAGTATGCAGAATTAAATATGACATCTTTCCTGCATTTTTTGGTTGGTCTTATTTTATTTATTTTGCTTTTCTTTTCATTTTCTTCTGATAGTTGAATCTGATATACTTTGGAGTATTGTTGTAATCTATACATAATCTATACATAAACATACCCACTATTAAGTTCTTGCTTGTTAAGTAATTAGTGTTTTAATACAGAAATTATGTTACATTACATGTCATGTCATTATATTACAGGAGTGTTTTGGTGATATATGGGGTATTAATTTTGATTTTAGGTGAACTCATTATTTTTTCAATTTGATATAGTAAAACATATGCCTCAGTATCTGAAAATCTGCTATCCAACATGGTTTCAGGATCAGATTAACCACTTGAGTTTCTGCTTTGTGAATTGCTTGTTTATTGCATTTGCCCATTTTCTTTCCTTGATGGCATCATATCTTTTCTTTTTCTTGTTTGTTTGTAGAAATTTATCATGTATTTTCAGTCTTAATTCACTATTTGTTTTAGTTGTAGCAACTCTCTCATTTTAACTTGTCATCTGCTAACTTTTTCCTGGGGTGTCTTCAATAAAGAGAGAAATTCTTATTGTTTGCTGTCATCAAATCTATCTTTCTTTAAACCTATGGTTTGAGCAATTGGATCTTTGTAGTCATTTTAAAAACAACATTAAACTTTATTAAATTATTAATATGCCTTCAACCTTACCTACTGAATCTTTTGAATAATCATCCTGGATTTATTCCTCTGCATTTAGAGTGCTTCCTTCAACAGGTGTTTCAGAAGTGGGCTTTGTGGGACAGAGCTTCCGAGCCCAGGAGGCTCCCCGAGAACAGCTTTTTTGTTCTTCTGTATGCTGACAATTCCCAGAAAGGTGACTTTTAGGGGCCTGGTAGGCTAAAGAGGGAACAAGATCATCAAGAATTAAGGTAGCCTATAATAAAATTGCAGTTTGGAAAGGAAAAAAACTGTTAGGGAAAAGTCAGAGTGATTTAGGGCACAGAAGGTGACTAACTCAGTGTCCAAGAAAAGAAGCAAGAGAGCGCAGAGATACACATGAATT